AAGGTCAAGTGGCATAACATAGTCCACAAAGACAATGTTCTACATCCTACTTTGGTAAGTACTGACTGGGGAAGCTTGCCAGCAGCCATCTAAGGTGCAACTATTGGTTTCTCCCCATCTGGAACAAAGAAGAGTGAGGAAAATCAGAGACACATAGAAACAATTAGTCCAAAGGACTAATGGACCATGTCAGCTTTAGCCTCCATGACTCTGAGTCCAGAAGTAGATGGTACCTGGCTATCACTATTGACTGCTCTCAAAGGGATCACAGTAGAAGCTCTTGGATAGAGTGGGAGAAAAATGTGGAACAAAAATCAAAATTATAGAAAGGACCAGGCTGACTGGTTGGATAGAGGCTGGTGGAACCCCCAAGGCATTGGGCCTTGGTCACCCTTCAGACCTGGAACAGAACTCACTTCCATAGCTGAATTTTCAGTCAAAGACAGATCTACAAGGTGAAGAATAACTCTAGGGAGGTAGAGGCTCCTTAGAACATTCAATCATTTGAGAGCAAAAGGGCAGCATGTGCCCAAGGACAAAGCTCAGAAGGCAGGAAGGGTTAGGAGAGAAGGAGTGGAAATGAGAAACAGGGAGGGTATGGGAGGATATCATGCTGATGTTATGCTGAGAGGATTGTAAACAATGACATGAAACAAAATGTGTGAATAGTTGAATGGAAACTGATTTGCTCTGTAAACATTCACCCAAAATCACAATAAAAAGTTGAAAAAAATTTTTCCTAACTAAGCTGTTAGTTGTAGCTAAGATGTAGTATTTTGGGGCCTCAATCACCCACCTGTCTAAATGTTCAAATGGAACTGGTATGTTAGCGGAAGAATTTGGCTTTGTCAAAGGCATTTTCCCTGTAGGAATATGGAGTGGTCATCTATTTGGGAACATTCATTCTTACAGGAGCGTGTCAGTCCTGCCCTTCATTTGACTGGTAGAACACAGGGGCCTTTGAAGATCTTTAAGCCTTTGAATTCTTTGTTAGCCAATTCTTTATCAAAAGCTCATAGAAATTGCTTCAAAACTATGCAATATCAATTCTTCCAGGTATTTTTAAACTTTATCTTCAGAGGACGCCAGATCATCAGGGAGCTATCTAACTAGTATCTAGCATAAGCTTTTAGCAAATTGTAATTTGACCATGTGCTATCAGCTAACCATGAGGTCTCTCTATGAAAATGCCTTACATTTTTCATGTTTTCATGATTTCAGTTTTCATGATTGCATGCATTTACATCTACTCCTCATTATCGACTCTCTTGTTATCCAATATTTCTCATTTACAACACTAGTGAAAAATCTATAATCTATTTTACACATGAACGACATACATCTGGCAGTAATGAATACTGAAGTGTGAGATGAGAGTAATGCTGGCTGTGATGGTTAAGGTTATGTGTTAACTTGGCTGGGCCATGATTCTCAGTGGTTTGGCAGTTAGATAATGCTGTATTGATCATAATGTTACAATGCCAGTTATCGATCATATCCTGGTTCTGGGTGGGTAACTACAGAGCTGTGGTTTGGTTTCCTGAACTGACTGGTATAGACTGTAATTTGGCTTCCCAGGCTAGTTGCTGCTGGTTGTGGGTCAGAGTCCTATTTCAATATGATCTGGCAGTAGTTTGTATGTTTAGTCTCTCTGTATCATTTAATCTTTCCAACTACCCCATGGAGTAGATAATATTCTTGTGTTACACATCAGGATACTGAAGTTCAGCTAGGTTACACAGCTTATACGTGTCAGTAATAGGATTCAAACCCAGGTTTGTCTGATTTTTAAATCTGATGGCCTTATTCCCACACTATAGACCATCTTGGAAGGCTATTGGGAAATTTTCCACTACAGTGCCCTGTACAGCCATAAGCATCTATAAAGAACCTTGCCAGGTGTTTTTGTATTTTTACCTAATTCCTGAATTTATCTTCTTTCCTTGTTGTTGTTGTTATGTGCCATCGAGTCGGACCCGACTCACAGCGACCCCTCCTTGGGTTTCTGAGGCAGTATCACTATGGAAGTAGATTGTCCCATCTTCCTTCTGAGGAGTGGCTGGTGGGTTTGAACCGCCAGCCTTCTGGTTAGCAGTCAAGTGCCTTAGGCACAACACTACCAGAGCTCCCCTTCTTTCTCTTTTATTTAAACTTTGCTTGATTTCAACTATTTATTTTTATAGCATTATAATATTACATTTTAAATAAAAGACCTAAAATCCTTTTGGATTTATATCTCACTGAGGTATAAAGAAAAAGAAATAAAAAATGCCCCTTTGAAATTCAGTAATGATTACTTGTATTTAATCTTGGCTGTTTTTCCCCATGTTATTTGCCCTTATTAAATTTTCAGGTCTATGTTCTAGTCTGCACACTGCTTACACTATGAAATAACGGAGGAAAGCTTTATAGTTTAAACTCCCCTCTGGCGCTTCTAAACACAAAAAACAAGTGTTACCCTAGGCTTGCACTGCGAGCACACATTTAGATTTGGTGTAGATAATGTTTAAGGAAAGGGAGGGAAATGAAAAGTAGTTAATGGGAGTTCATAATAAAAGCTGTTTTTAAAATTCCATTAGTTTGGTCCCCTGCTTTGAATGGAACAGGATGTGACACACAGCTTGCAGAATCTCTGAGATCTATTTATTGGTGCCCCACCAACATATCTCTTTCCACTGTCCTTCAGATTCTGTTGTAAAACGGTAAAGGTACTTGTTTACATTAGAAGGGGCAGTTCATCTGTTAATAGGAATCATTAGAGGATACTCCCCTGTGCCATGCTGCCTTTTTCTAGATGGCTCACACACCTTCATCCTAATAGAGGACATAGCATCAAATACCTGTTCAACGGGAACGTTTTGTCTCCCTGGTTTCAAGTGATTTCTTGGTAATGTGCTCAGTGTGGGCCAGCACGGAACACTGGCTTTCCCTTTGATCCTCTGGCTCTGTTTGGCATCAGGGCACCAAGCCTGTGATCTCAGCACATTTTTTCACTCTGGCAGCGTTTTGTTATTGATGCTAACTCTGCTTTGCTTTTTGGTTTCGTTCTGTTCTGTTAGGTCTCCTCAAGGAGCTCACCTTCACCTTTCAGAAGCGCCCCCCTCCAGCAGCAGCGCTGCTGTTTCAGGCAGTAATTAGCTGAGACTCAGAAACTATTTGCAACTTAAATTCCCAGACACTGACTTGGCAAAACAAGATCTATCAGATTTAGGAATAAAGATGGGGGAGAAAGAAAAAACAGATTAGGTGTCATTTCATGCTAGTTGGCCATTATACGAGAACATTAACTGTTTCCCTTCCCTACTTTCAGACTCAAATCATGGTGCAGCTCAAGTAAAGATATAGGAACAAGAGTGTCAATGTTCTTGTAAAAAAATAGTAACTTCAAATTATACACACATAAATAAAAGTCGTGGGCAGAGAATTATTTGCCATTTTTCACATCATACTAGCTCTTTTATCAACTAAGATGGTTTTCTTTTGTTATAATGTAGGTATTCAAATCTCTCTTATGGCTCTCTTCCTCTTACAGGGATTCAGAATAAAAAATTTGTCAGAATACCTGTGGACTTGGCACATGAAGGTTTTATGTAAACTTTAACAGATTGAGTATTTGGGAATGAGAGGATCTCAGGCAGGAGAGAAAATTATTAATGGAAAGCAAAACTAATGTTTTAGTATGGTCTTATCATGTGCACACATAGGCAGGTAAAATTCCTGCAATACAACACTCTAGTGGTTCTGCTACTCCCTTTAGTTATTTCCTCTATGTATTTCATGTGTAGAAATTTTTTTATTAAACAAAGTGAATTTATTAAATAATAATTCAGCTTCCTCCTTTTCTTTACCAACAATGTGTAAGGGGCAATGAGAACTCCTGAATCAACATGAGGTAATGGAGACTCAATAGTGTTCTGGCAAAGACAAAGAAATCCAATGAAGAAGCTCTACAGTGGTAAAACTATGATTTTCCTTAGACTATTAATATTAAATATTGAACACAGAATACAGATTCCTACTACTATTCCTTTGGCCCAAGGGGCCCAAACAGAGAGCACCTGAAAAGAAAGGCAAAACAGGAAACTGAAGAATAGAGAATAGGGGTTACATCTCTGAGGCATCCTCAAATCTGTAAGTTTTCAAATTGTATGTTACTTGTGGACATACAACTTCTCTCCACTGAAACCACCTTTTCCATCCTCCAAGTTTCCAGTCCACTATGGTCTGTTAGGTTGTAACAAATGTTTCTATGGCATCAATTAGCTCATCTGCAATCAGTAAACAGGAGAATGAACTCAGTGTAACATAGAAGTTATTCTGGCTCCTAGGCAAGGGGTTCTGGAAAAGCAAAAGTAAAATTTTAACTTTCTGCAGGAAACAAGAAACATCTTCAGTAGCTTCAGCTCTATTTTTAAAGAAACAAGAGGAGCACCTGCACTGGGCTCCTCCCCAGAGAGACATCCTTCCAGTTTTGCATGACTCTGGGCGATGGCAGGTTGCACTTCCTCCTGGGCTCAGAGTTTCTCTTCTATCTGTGTTTGCCCAGTATCGAGAAGAAGCTAACATTTATACTTTACAGTTTTTGTGCATTTTTAACATCCCCTGAGGCTGAGTCCACCACACATTAAGCTGCTGCTTGCCTAGGCTGTCCAGCTTAGCTCTGGAGGCACCAATCACGGTTTTTGTAAGCACTTTGGTTACAAAAGGGCTCAAGTTTTGAGAAGTTTACCTCTAATTTTAATTTAATTTGATCATAAGCCCTGTTATTTTTCAATGTACCAGTTTTGTGGAATGCTTTCTTTTTCAGGAACATATATATTGTGTCACAGTAGAAACTGTACTTTTCAATTAGTGGATGCTTAATACATACGGACAGATTATAATTTTAACTTGTATCATAAGAATTTTACAAAGTGACTGCACATAATGACTATGTCAACAATGAACCCAATTACAAGAATTTAGCAAGATCATTTGATTTCATAAGTATAAAATCTCTCAGTCATTTTAACTTGTACAATGTTTTTATTACTACTGTTTTAGAGAAACAGAGGCTAACTTTTCATTTGCAGAAATTGCTGAGTAGTCATCCATTAGTTCTTGAAGTTGAATAATAGGAAACTGTACTTGTTTTTCAAACCATTTGGCAACTGTAAGAAGCTGCTGATCACAAAACACACGTCCAATAAATTGCAGCCCTATTGGCAATCCCTGGTTTGAGAGGGCCACAGGAACGCTTACTGCTGGCAATCCTGAGGAAAATAAAGAAACACATTAGTTGATTAATTTTCCATCCTAAGAGGCAAAGCCCTCATCCACTTCAAGAGTTAGTAGGTACAAGAAAGAATAAGGTTTAAAAAATAACCAAATATAATATTATCCTATATACACGCTTTGAATATTGTTTTTTTCACGTAATATATATCTTAGAAATCATTCTCCAACAGTTCACAGAGACCTTATTCATTCCTTTTTTAAAATTTTCAAACAGCTACATAGTGCTCTATTAGGTGATTGTACCATAATTTATTTAACTAGTTCTCTATGGTTGGGCATTTAGATGGTTTCCAATATTTAGCTATTTTACACAATGTTTCAATAAATAACCTGTGATATTCTTAGAAATTTCTCAGATGAAAAGGGATTGCTTCATTAAAGCATAAGTGCATATATAATGAGCTCTGGTGGCGTAGTACCTAAGGCATTTGACTGCTAACCAGACAGCTGGTGGTTCAAACCCACCAGCCACTCCTCAGAGGGAAGACTGGGAAATCTAGTTCCACAGAGATACCACCTTGGAAATGCAAGGAGGGGTTGCTATGAGTTGGATTTGACTCAAGGGCAGTGAGTTTGATTTTTTTGGTTTTCTGGAATTTGATATTGTCAAGATCCCATCATAAGAAGTTGTACCATTTTGAATTCCTACAAGCAAAATGACTTCTTTTTTTACAGCCTGGCCAGCAGAGCCTGTTCTGGAACTTTTGTGTTTTTGCTAATGTGTTAGGTGAGAAATAGGTAGCTCAAGCTAGTTTTAATTCCAGGCTTGGGGCAGAGAAAATACAAAATAAACCTGGAGCATTTGTTATGCCATAAAACAAGGAAGTTTTCAAAGATTAGTGGGGATAGGTCTAAAGGATACATACAACTTCATGCAACTCCTATTGGCCAAATTTGGAATAATTTGAACACCAAAAGCAAAATGTCAGTAATTGCTTATAGTCCATTAATTTCTTTTTAAACAGTAAACTCTTATTTAGAGAAACTGCTAGCTAATATATGTAGAAGGAATGACGGAATTAGAAAAGTTAGCATTTTTCAATTCCCTAGGTAGTAACTGAGTCAGGCAAGGATTGTCAGTGGAAACTAAAGCTGAGTACAACATTCCTGGGAATCAGGATATTCACATGCTCTTAAAGTTGTTGTTGTTGTTGTTGTGTGCCATTGAGTCCGACTCGACCCATAGCGACCCCTCCTCGGGTTTCCAAGGCAGTATCACTATGGAAGTAGATTGCCCAACCTTCCTTCCGAGGAGTGGCTGGTGGGTTTGAACCACCAACCTTCTGGTTAGCAGTCAAGTACCTTAGGCACTACGCTACAAATTGCTTATAAATGACACATACACACAAAAAATTGTTCCTTTTCAATAATAATAATTATGAAAAATCCAAGCAGTTACCTCCTTAAACAAGTAATTGACATTGTTTTCAAAAGTGGGAAAAACTGGTATTAACTGTTTCCTGATGGGAAAAGTATGTAGTATTTCTGTCAAAAATGTGTAACTCAACCTGGTCATGAAGAAATAGTGAGACAAATCCAGATTAGGAGTAGGACATTCAATAGGACAAGTGACTGGGACTTTTCATAAAAACCAAATGAAAAAAGGTGGGAAATTCCTTAGTAGAAACCATGAAATTCAGGAAAAAAGTAGCACAACATTTTTCAAGTGCTAAAGAAAAGGACTATCAAATCAGAATCCTATATGCAGCAGAAATATCCTTTAAAGATGAAAAGGAAATTAAGACATTCTCCAACAAAGGAAAGGTAAAATAACTTGTTGCCAGAAGACCCACCTAAAAAGAATAGCTAAAGGAAGTTTTCTAAACAGAAAAAAAAAAAAAAAAAGGATAAAAGAATCTTGGAACATCATTGTGAGGTGGTGGTGGTGCTGCTGTTAGGTGCTGTCGAGTCGTCTCCCACTCGCAGTGAGTGACCCTACGCACAGCAGAATGACGTGTGAGATGTAGAATCACTTTATGAAAAAGCAATCTGGCCTTTGTTCTTAATTTGTTCAAGCCTAACCAATACCAGGGGGTGAGTGGGGGTTGATCAGATGAAGAGGGACCTCCTGGGGGGCTGACACTGATGCAGCCTCATGAGGCATGATGTAATCTATCATGGCTACATGGTAAGGCTAATACGAGCCCTGAGGCCTAAGGTTCAGGGAAGCTGCTGCTGCTTTTTTTTGTGTGTGTGATTTGGGTGAATATTTACAGAGCACATTCACTTTCCATACAGCAGTTCACATACACTTTGTTTCATGACATTGACCACAATTTACCACAATGCAACAGCTCCCCTCCCACTTCCTCCTGATAATGACCTGTTCCCTGTGTCCATCCCTCCATGCACTCCTGCCCCGTGAACTGTCTCCTGATGCATAAGCAGCCCTTCTTTCTCCCATGATTGTTCTCTCCAAGAAGTGTATCTACCTCAGGTAAACACACTTGTTCAACTCATATGCCTGTCTTTTGCTTGGCTGGAAGCCACGGGTTTGGGTTCAATTCCAGACCTGAAGGGCAGCTAGGGGCCATAGTCTCAGTGGTTCCACCAGGCTCTATCAGACCAGCAAACATGGTCCTCCCCGAGACCTTTTTTTTTTTCTCCAAATGATTTTGAGTTTTGTTCCATATTGTCCTCCCTCTCAGAGAAGCGTCTTGGTTGGTAACCATGTATGGGAGAGGATAGCACATGCCTCTTTGGGACATGGAAGCTCTGGGCTGGGACCCAGCCCAGATCTCATCCTATGCATCTTTCTGTTTGTAATAAATCTGTAGCCATAATTGTAGTGCACTCCCCATGATCCTGTGAATTGTTCCTGTGAATTAAGAAACGTACAGGGGCAGTGAGAGCAAGCAGGGCCAGTATTCTGCCTATTTAGCAGTCTGAAAGAAGGTGTCCCTCCAACTTGTAAGCTCTTACCCAGCTCCTGGTGGCCAGGGTCTAAGAAAGAGAGAATGTGCCACTTGGATGGGTGATGACAAGAATGGAGAAGTGAGAAGGTTAGTACTGGATCCATTTCCATACTTTGATCATCTCTAGGCAGTTAGCAAAGAAGGTGGGATTTTCCCACTGTGCTGCTTGTTTAGTGCAACCATGAAGGAAGAATGAACACAAAAGGTAAAAATATGAGTAAACACAATAGGCTTTTCTTTCCTGTTGAGTTTTCTACATTATAGTAAAAGAAACATTACAACACAGTCGTATATGACTCTATAAAGATCAAAAGAACAATGAGAAGCTTGGGGGATTATTGAAGATTTTTAAAAAGATTCCATAGACAAATGTAAAACATATTACCTTGATTAGATTCTTGATCAAGTAAAAAGAAAACAACTGTAAAAAACATTTTTTGTCACAACTGAGAGAATTTGAATATAGATTATATTTGGATACAATTCTTGAATTAGTTTTCTTAGATGTGATAATGGAATTGTGGTTATGTAAGAGAATGTCCTTTTTCTTAGAGGTTTCATACTGAAGAATTTAGGGATAAAGTGTCTTTCGAATGATTCAGCTGAAAAATAAAAAAGTATGTGTGTGTGAGTGTGGAGAGAGAGTGAGCGAGAGATGGCAGAGAAAGCAAATGATCCAAATGTTAACAATGATGGATCCTGATGAAGGACATATGAATAACCATCACACTACTTTACAATTTTTCTACAGGTTTCAAAATTAAAAAATATAATGAGTGGATTGGTGCAGAATATGTATGTGTGTGAGTGTGCGCAAACTCATGTTGTTGTCATTGTTAGTGCCGTCGAGTCGGCTCTGACTCATAGCCACCCTATGAACGATAGAACAAAACACTGCCTGGTCCTGTGCCAGCCTCACAATCCTTGCTATACCTGACAATGTTTCAGGGCTATTCATAAAGTTTTCCAGCCATGTATCAGAGAGTGTTTCATGCTATTCATAGATTTTCACTGGTCAATTCTTTGAGAAGTGGATGGGTCTTTCCTTCCTCCGAGTCTGCCTTAGTCTGGAAGCTCCACTGAAACCTAACTACCATGGGTGACCCTGCTGGTATTTGAAATATATACGTATGTGTTCTATATATCAAGTAAAATTTGACCTATATACATATACATATGCACAGAAACACACACACACACACACACACACACAAACATTCCTAAGCGTTCCAAAAAGATAAGTTATTGCTTTTAGGAAACAGTATAGCTAGAGTATGAATTGAAAACCAGGGGCCTGCATATGAATTTGAAGAAAACCAGAACGTTTTTGAGGGATCCTCACCGGCCATATTTACTGCCTGTGTAAAAATATCATCCTGGGCACTTCGGGTTCTGTTGTCTTCTTTGATGAATTCCAAGTAGGGCACTGTCTCACTCAAAGTTGTGGGAGTTAGTAGAACATCAACTCCAGAGTTAAAAACATTCACAAAATCATTAGCAATGAGCCGTCTCACTTTCTGTGCTTTGATGAAATAATTCTCATAGTTTCTGTGGAAAAAAAATAAGATGATGTTTTAAGGGCTTTTGGTATTCTTTGAATCAATTCTCATACACTAGGCTTATTAAAGAACCACTGGATTCTTGGTCTTCATAAACAGACACCACTAAAATTCTTGTTATACATAAAAATAAGTTTGTTCAACTGTACTGTATCCTAAAGAATGTTTATCTAGAACATAATCAATCAATCAGAATTTACTACTAGATATACTTCAACACATATAAACAAAAAACACTAATACTTCCAGGTACCATCACTAAACTAATCAGGTGAGGAAAAGCAAACACACAGCACTTAAATGACTTTCGGAAGGTTACAAAGAAAAACAGGCAGTGGTAGAGGTAGAACTAGAACTTAGGTTACCAGATGCTCATTCCAATCCTCTTTCTATTATAATGTCTTATTTTATTGACACTAACACAGGTGCAATAAATATGTTCCCTATGTTCAAGAAGTAGAGAAGATGTAACATAATGAGGAAACTGAAGAGATAAAAAGACCTACTTCAGATTTCTAGAGATGAAAAATATATGAAATAAAAAATATAGTAGGTAGGGGTTGACAGCAGATTAACACAGCAGAAGAAAAGATCAGTAATTCTAAGGATAGTAACAGAAACTATCCAAAAGGGGGCATAGAGAGAAAAAAAAAAAGAAAGAAAGAAAAAGAAGGAGGCTTAGTGAGCTGTAGGACAAGGTCAAGCAGATTAATATGCTATATTATAAATGTTGTTGTTGTTGTTGTTATGTGCCGTCGAGTCGGACCCAACTCATAGCGACCCGTCCTTGGGTTTCCGAGACAGTATCACTACAGAAGTAGATTGCCCAACCTTCCTTTCGAGGAGTGGCTGGTGGGTTTGAACCACCAGTCTTCTGGTTAGCAGTCAAGTGCCTTAGGCACTATGCTACCAGAGCTCCATATTATAGATAGAATCCCAGAAGGATGTGCGGGAGGGATGGAAAAATATCTGAAGATGAAATGGCCAAAAATGTCTCAAATTTAATTAAAACTATAAACCTAAAAATCTAAGAAGCTCAACAAACGCTTAAGCAGAAGAAATATGCAGGAAAGCACACCAAAGCACATCATTGTCAAATTTCTGAAAACCAAAGATTAAAAAAAAAAATCTCAAAATAAGGCAGAGGCAAAAAGACACATTATAGACAAATGAATAGGATAAGAATTACCACAGACTTCTCAGAAACTATGCAAGCAGACTTCTCAGAAACTATGCAAGCCAGAAGACGATGGAACATCTTTAAAGAACTGAAAGAAAAACTATTAACCTAGAATTTTATACTAAGTAAAAATATCTTTAAAAATTAAAGTCAAAATAAAAACTCTTCATGAAATCAAATGCTGAAAGAACTTGTTGCCAACAGACTTGTACTACAAGAAATATTAGAGGAAGCTATTTAGGCAGAAATATATATGTATAATAAAAGACTATTTTCCATCATTTTAAAGCTCTTTAAGAGAAATTTTATTGTTTAAAGAAAACACAAACAAAGGCAGAAAAAGGAGTTAAAAGAAACAAAGAAAGATGATACAAAAATAAATATTAAGATGTGACACATCAATGTCACATCTGTGAGGTAGATTTCAATATGGTTCTGAAGTAAACACCAATTGAAATTTAACTCTAGATTCCTAATTAAATAATTTTTTAAACAAATAATAATAGAAGAATGACAAAATTCTAAATGGAGGTATCACATGAATAAAAATATTCAGATATTATTTTACAATTCCTGGCATATAATTTGAGATTTTAAGATTAAAATAAAAAAGTATTCCAAACTCCATTTTTTCTATCACCTTTGTCCAACCCCTCAGAAAGCAAATAAACAAGCTAACAAACCTCTTCCAAAACAAACAAACAAAAAACTTGATCCAAGTTAGGACTAACTCAGAGGCTAGGGATACCATTAAGAATTCTCATTTCCTTTTCTCAATATCCCAAACCAATGGTGATGGAAGACACTTTCAGACTTCTCTTCTTCAATTTCTTTTTCCTTTTTTAAAAATAACATTGTATTTTTGGTGAAGGTTAGGTTTCCATTCAACAATTCCTACACAAGTTGTTCAGTGACATTGGTTACATTCTTCACCATGTGTCAACATTCTCATTATTTCTGTTCTGGTTCTTTCATTTCCCCTCAATTTCTTTCTTTGCTGTTACAATGATCGATATATTTTGTCAACTTGTGCTCTAAGGTATACAATATGATTCTTGTCAGTAATATTTAGCAAATGTAACATCTTTGGCTTACTAAAATTATATTTCCTTTTCCTACTCTTAAGTCATTTCAAATGTCTGTTCAATAAAGAAAACGATCTTTTAATATAAAATGTAATCAAATACTATTTTTGGAAAAAACAATCCTATTGACCCTGAGGCGATGCACAGATGAATAAAACGATTTCTGCCCTTGAGGGCATGAAGAAAACCTCCAGGAAGCTTCTCCTTACAATAACCACTCTTGTCCTCTTAGACAAACTTGGTGGTAGGGGAGAGGAATGGTATCCAGAAGATTATAAATCAATTTACATAGCAGCAACCCAAGTAGGAGTCAAGTTAATTTAGCATTCTTTTTTTCTTTCTTATTGTGCTTTGGGTGCAAATTTACAAACCAGATTTTATATTCAACTGTTCACGCACATTTGATTTCACTGCCCCAATTACCATCCTCAACCATAAAAAACTCTCCTCCCTTCTCCTCCCTGTAACTACCCCCTTCCTGTTCCCTTATGATGCATTCCGGTCTGTCCAGCTTTCCCTCTAACGCTCCTTTGGTGTCTCAAGTCTGACTCACTTCCCTAGGAGGTATCTCCCTGGGCTAGGTGTTCTGCATTAGCATTCTTTCTTGGAGCACATGGATATGTAATGCAAGTAAACTAAGTTTACTAACTGCATGACTCAAGAAACATCCTGCTTAAGGCTCCCAAACAAAAATCCAGTGTATCAATACTCAAAAACCCAAAACCAAACCCACTGCCACCAAGTCAATTCCAACTCACAGTGAACCTATAGGACAGGGCAGAACTGCCCCATAGCATTTACAAGGCTGTAAATCTTTACAGAAGGAGATTGCCACACCTTTGTTTTACACAGCAGCTGGTGGGTCCACTCTGCCACCAGGACTCCTCCAATAATAGCCAGGGGAAGAAGCTACAATCCTCTAGGGCTTCCGGCTTAGTTTGTACTAATCACTTAAATAGAGTATCAATGTTGTTTTTGTTTTTGCACAAGCAGGAAACAAAGGTGACATAAATAGGTCCTTTCTAATTCAAATTAAATAGAATTTTGCTTCTTTAGCAAATATCTCAATTTATAATACCCGATAGTCAGGCTAGCATTTTACTCTTAAGGTTTTAAGAAAATGGAAAATTCCTAAACTAATTATCTTACTTTTTTAATAAGAAAAAGTTTCCTGAGAGAATTCTTCCTCTCACCACATCATTGAACCCTTCTCGTCTGGTTGCAGCATACATAGCTTCAGTAGACACATTAATGTCACATCTGTGACCTGAAAACAAACAACAACAAAAAAAAAGGGACAAATTTTACTTGAAAAGAAAGCAAAGTTCTGGCTGATAACCGGGTCTAGATTCACATTTGTGAGCAGTTCTAGAATCTTGGGATAATCCGTCTCCTTCGTCTGCCTTATGACACACTGATTAGTCAGGAATCAGAGAAAGAAAAAATCAGCCAGGAAAGAAACTTCATTTATTCCCTCCCTCATTCATTTAAACATGTATTAAGCTCCTACCAGGCACTACGTCAGAATGGCTGAGTATACAAAGATAATACATTATTATCCCTTCAAGAAATTCATAGTCCAGAGTGGTGAATTGAACACACACATATTTATGATGAATACTTAAGTATAGTGCTAAACTGACAAAGGTAAAATGATCACTGATTTATTTTTATGAATCATTAGCATTATCTCAGACAATAGTTTTCTTGCCACTAACAAGTGAACCTTTTAAATGTTTGAGGCAACTAGTTTAAGAAATCAAAAACACAGTCATCTTACCATATTCTAGTCCATCAAATCTTGCCATATTTGATGCCACTTCTGATGTGCACAATACATGGTAGCAAACAATTGAATAACTCGTGTGAGGCAAGGACACTTCAATTACTTTGGCCCCCTCCGATTCAAAGAGGTCAGCAGCTTTGGTCCAGAGAGATTGTACTTCACTTGATAACTCTGGTACAAGATATTCCTTATAGGGAAAAGTCAAGATGAAGGATTTAGAACATCTACATAGATGATTTTACAAAAATCTGTACTCTAGAACCTTTGGCAATACATTAGGAAAACGGATTAAATTGTTGGTAGGTAGCTAGAAAGACTGAACCCATTTGGGTTAATGTAGAGAATATCTACCATCACAGTACTTTTCTGAGAATTTTATTATAGTAGCATAAAAAAAATTTCTAGTATAACATCCGACTCATAGTGACCCTCTTTGGATTTCTGAGGTGGTAAATCTTTACGGAACTACATTGCCCAGTCTTCCTTCTGTGGAGTGGCTGGCAGGTTTGAACCACCAACCTGTGGTTAGAAGTCAAATGCCCGAGGCACTATGCCACCAGAGCTCCTAATATTACATGCTTTACTATCATATTAGGAAACAAATTCAGAAAGGTTTAGTGACCAGGTCATGTTTTAAGGATGGAAATCACTTTATTTACTGACATTCAGAAGAAATGTCAGATAACTGTCTAATGATCTAACCATTATTATACACTAATGATGTATTCAAGGTCATATTTTGGCTCTTGTGGATTTGTTTTAATTGTACTCAGCTTTAACTTGAACTTGCATATGAGCAGTTGATGGTTTGTTCCATAGCCAGCCTTCTAGACTTGTTTTGGCTGAAGATATTGAGCACCGTCAGAGATGCACTGAATGCCAATGACCAAAAAGCAGAGAAATTGTAGGATGACATCAAGAACATCATCCATGATGAAAGCAAAATGTCATTAAAAATACAGGAAAGGAAGAAAAACTACAATGGATGTCAGAAGAGACTCTGAAACTTGCCTTTGAACGGACAGTAGCTAAAGCAAATGGAAGAAATTACAAGATAAAAGAGCTGAACAGAAGAGCAGCTTGAAAAACAGTCAATTATTATAATGAAATGTGCAAAGACCTGGAGTTAGAACACCAAAAAGGAAAAGAACACATTCTGCATTTCTCAAGCTGAAAGAACTAGGAAAAAATTCAAGCTTTGAGTTGCAATATTGGAAGATTCTATGGGCAAAATATTGACTGATGTAGGAAATATCAAAAGAAGATGGAAGGAATACACAAGATGGCTGGACCAAAAAGAATTGGTTCATATTCATCCATTGCAGGAGGTGGCATATGATCAAGAACCAATGGTACTAAAGGAAGAAGTCAAAAATGCACTGAGGGAATTGGTGAAAAACAAGACTCCAGAAATTGACGCACTGCCCATTGAGATGTTTCAGTAAATGGATGCCATGCTGAAGGCACTTACACGTCTATGCCAAGAAATTTGGAAGACAGTCACCTGGCCAACTGACTGGAAGAGATCCATATTTATACCCATTCCAAAGAAAGGTGATCCCACAGAATGTGGAAATTATCGAACAATATCATTAATATCACACGCAAGTAAAATCTTGTTGAAGATAATTCAAAAATGGTTGCCCCAGTATGCTGATAGAGAACTTCCAGAAATGCATGCTGGATTCAGAAGAGGATGTGGAATGACAGCTATCATTGCTGATGTCTGATGGGTCTTGGCTGAAAGCAAAGAATACCAGAAAGATGTTTGTTTGCACTTTATTGACTATGCAAAAGCATTCAGTTGTGTGGATCAAACAAATCATGGGTAACATTGAGAAGAGTGGGAATTCCAGAACACTTAATTGAGCTCATGAGGAACTTGCACATAGACCATGAGGCTGTCATTTGAACAGAACAAGGGGATACTACATGGTTTAAAATCAGGAAAAGAGTGCGTAAGGGTTGCATCATTTCACCATACTTATTCAATCTGTTTGCTGAAAAAATAATCAAAGAAGCTGGACTATATGAAGAAGAGCATAGCATTAGGATTGGAGGAAGACTCATTACCAACTTGTGATATGCAGATGACACAATTTTACTTGCTGAAAGTAAGAATGACTTGAAGCACTTACTGATGAAGGTCAAAGACTACAGTCTGCAGTATGGATTACATCTCAACATAAAGAAAATGAAAATCCTCACAACTGGACCAATAAGCAGCAGTGTGATAAATGGAGAAAGGACTGACGTTGTCAAAGATTTCTTATTACTTGGTTCCCCAATCAACACCAATGGAAGCAGCAGTCAAGACATCAGACGATGTACTGCATTGGGCAAATCTGCTGCACAAGACCTCTTTAATGTGCTGAAGAGCAAAGATGTCTCTTTGAAGACTAGGGTGGGCCTAACCCAAGCCATGGTATTTTCAGTCACCTTATATGCATGTGAAAGCTGGACAATGAGTAAGGAACACTGAAGAAGAGTGGATGCTTTTGAGTTGTAGTGTGGGCAAAGAATACTGAAAGTACCATGGACTGCCAAAAGAACTAACAAATCTGTCCTGGAAGAAGTGCAGCTGGAATGTTCCTTGGAAGTGAGAATGGCCAGATTTCATCTGATCTACTTTGGTCATGTCAGAAAAGACCATTCCCTAGAGAAGGATATCATGCTTGGTAAAGTGGAGGGTCAATGA